TTAAAGTTGATAAATTATGCATCTTAAAATGTATATAAATATACTGTGTACCTATATACAATTGTAATTACGCAATTGCCATGTTGCATGAACAATCATCATAGGAATGGCACGGGGGGAGGGGGGTTTAGGTGGACCATGGCCCCTCCTGCGAGCTGTGAGTCGGACTGTACCACAGAGGCTTCCACCTTAAATAATCCCTTGATACAATTCAAAATTGGCTTGGCCCCCCTGCCACAAAGGTCTACGCACTCCTATGACAATCATTACATATTTAATGAATCAATAATGGTTCCTTAAACATGACTAAATTAATTAATTTTTCATGCAACCTGGCATTAGTATTTTTGATATTAGGTAGGTAAGTAGGTAGTTTAAAAATATATTTACAGGTTAAACCATTTGTATCATTTTTTTCGAAAATAAATTTGTTGATTTTGAATTGCACTAAAATAGAATAAATAAAAAAATTTATAATTTACCTAAATATCAAAATTAATACCTAACTAAATAAAATTATAAATACCTTCTTCATCCAACAAAGTATTAATAACTGCAGGACACTGAGTTTTAGATTTTGCACATGCTTTCTTTCTAATATTTTTTGTTACTTGTGTTTTTATTTCTAAGAATTATTATAAAAATGTATCATTAGTATATTTTTGGAATTAAAAGAGAAAATGTGTTATTAAATATGTGTATTAGTAGGTAGACTCACTTGCAGTATTTCTTTTAGCTGATCGTAACACTCTTCTCTCATTACAATCATATGGTTTTTTAAACATTGCCACCATCTTTTTTGAGCGTGATCCATTCATATTTAATAGGTACAGTTTTAATAATTAAAACTTTAATGTAATGATTTAAAAATTAAAATATGAAACATATTAAACACATTTAACACTTTTATAATGCGATTTCTCAATTACGAACTTGAGCCATAGTAGACACGAGACGCAACTGGACACATAACACTGGTGAATGACACTGTTGTAATAAGCTTCATAAACTGTAGGTACAATAAAAATATTAATAAGTGATAACAAGATGAACTGCACTCTTTAGTCAATATTTTGGGAATTATCTATGTATAATAATTGGCTATCGGATCTCGTAAAGGCGTAACAAATGTAAGTATTCTGCTCTTATCTATACGGATCTCACAAAGTATATACCAACCGGATACCGTGTGTACTGTGTTGAAAATCTGTCGGCCTCTCTTCACGCTTATTTATGTATAAATCCGGGGAAAACCCTCATAAATATATTTATACATACAGACATTATGAGTTATTATAAATATCTATATTCCGTAATATACATCAGATCTCTTAACGATACAACAAAATATGTACATAGGGACTAGTGGATCTCATGACGTTACAATATTTCTATATGTTGAAATTTTGATCTTATAGGCAATTATAGTCTGTCCAACGAGAGAACGCACCGCGCACAGACTAAAACTGGTTCCCACAGGTAACACCCTGTCATAGGGGAACCGGTTTCGATAGCAAGGTGACGCACCGGGATGCGCAGAATATTGTAATATAATAATATAATCAAATCTGTCAAAGACATCGCGAAATTAAGTATATTTGAGGGTTGGGATCTCTTACATAGGTATAAGTTATAGTCTTACAGTTAAATATTATAGTTGTGAGTATCTTACTATCTTGATATGATTTAATATAGGTGGAAGTAAGTATTAACTAGTTATACAAATACGAAATTACGTTAGTTAATATATTTATATGGCCTGAACAACATAACCTAGGGATGTACCTACTGTTCATACTTTATTAAGTCAATATTATGGATCTCATAAAATGCGTTCTACATTGAAGCGGATATCAAGAAATACTTTTTATTATTATTAGAATAATATAATATTATGATATAATACAAAATAATTAAAATATAGTAAGGATCTCTTAAAATCGGTAGTTACAGACCACTAACACACAAATGCGACGTTGCCGTCGTATAGATCTCACAGGGTGCATATCATTCAAAACGATTTTGTACTATCCCCGGTGATGGAGCATAAGAAACACATACTGTGTTTATATACACACACATAAATTTCATAATTATGGTCTTATGAGATCCGATCTATTTCTGTATGGAAACTCGTTCATTTGCCTTGAAAAGGCTAAATCAGGTTAAAACGTTATTAGATCCAGGGGTATGGATCCCACAACGAAAAATGATCTCACAACGCTGCTTCGTTTCTATACGGTGGATCCCATAAGACACTAGCGGTAAACCCACACACACACACACACACACACACACACACACCATTTTTAATACCAATTGAAATGTTACTTTATTTTATATATTTTTATATATCAGCAATCGGAATCATACAAGGACATTTTTATGGATTTGATATCGAAAGGAAAAATTGAAAATGATATATTAAATTCATTAACAATGAAGGAAGGGAATAGTTCTTACACATTTAAATGTCCAGTTGCACCTCATTGTGAAGACTACTATGTCATTCAGCACTATAAAATGAATACAATCCAAGATATTCCATCGGATGAAAGGTTAGTAAAAAAAAAAATATGGTCTATAATATGTTAAAAATAAAAAATATTAAATAGTGAATTTTCATACTAGATGGAAACATGCGGAAGCTAGTATTAAAATTTATACATCAAGTAGAGATACAAAAGATTCAATAATTTCAAAAAAAATCAATGACGTTGTTCGAGAAATATTGGATCGGTTTTCAGCAGATCCTAAGAAAAACTTATCAAAAATACTAAAAAATAAAATAATCACAATTTAAATGTATAATCTGTTTTATTAGGTAATATTACAAATTATAAAAAATTATATTTAATGATTCCCTGTGTGCATAAATCAATCTTATAGATGTCGCAAGGTAGTTCATTTTGGATATGTGATGTTAATATAAAGATCCTAAGGACTTCTTATTGATATACTGGAGATGCTAAACGCCAGGTTGAGCGACATTATAAAAACGAAGTTAATCATAAACATCTACTGAACATCGCATTATAACTGCTCATACAACACTATTTGATTTCATATTAACATCCAATCGATGTAAATCCGTACTATTAATTACGTCTCATAGTCATCACATGGTAGTTATATAGTTGGGCATAGTAGCATATACAGGGACGGCTTCTGGGTGGCCCTAGGGCCCCTCAAGCTGTATTTCTAAACAATTTAATACTGTTAAAAACAAAATTACAAACAAAAATCATCGAAATTGTCTGAACATTATATGACTTGCCCCCCCTCCATAATCATGCCACTGGAGCAGCCCTGAGCATATACAATTTTATTTGAAAGGTACCTACCTCCTCCTTTTAAGCTCTTATTGATGTATTTGAAATGAAACCACCCTGTTAAATCATTAAATTATATAATAAACCTATGTGAAATTGGTTTGAAATATTATAACTGACTATTAATTATAATTAATTTAATTATAGGTCGTTTAATTAATTATTGCTAACATATTTAAACTATAGAACAGTATTTTATTTTATAAAATAATAAAAATAGTAAGAAGTAGAAAAAAAATCATTTTTAAAACTCATGCAAAATAAATGATCTGGTTAATTATTATGACCTTACTGCAGAATTATATCAATTATAATTATTTCTATATACTAAACACAGGACTTGCATATATAGGTTTTGATTTATATAATAAATAGACAGCATATTTTGTTTATAACATTATAAGTATATACAATTTATTGATTATAGGTATGTATATAAAATTATAATTTAGTATATTTAATACCTAGTTCATGTATTTGAACTATAGTAGTTATTGTATTGTGAATAAACATAACTGCAAGTATTACAAAGAAAATGGTTTATTTAGATACCTATTTGTGTATAAAAAATATTTAATATTATAGTGAATTAAAATACAAATAAGAACAATGAAATAAATGAAATGTATGTATGTATAACAAGTTACAATCAAAAGTAGGTACTTTATATACTTATTTCTACATAATATATAAAATAAAGTTAGATTTCTGCATGTATAACAAATAAAAGTATGTATTTAAATATAATATATAAACAATATTTAGTATAAGTGAACTTAAGTACAAATGAAAAATTGAAATATAATATCAATTAATAAAAACAATGAAATAAATGAAATGCATAACAAATTATAATTACAATTAAAAAGTAGTATAGGTACTTTTAAGTTAATTTTATACATAATTTAAAATATAAGTAGATATCTAGATATCTTGCAGCTGCAAGTATTACAAATAAAATTATGTATTTAAAATTTAAATATAATGTATAAATAATATTTAATATAAGACGTTAACTAATGTACGTGTGAAAAAAGGGAAATATAATATAGGGTAAAGTAGGTAGTTATTGGCACTGGTGTAGTTATTGGCATAGTGAATTTGTTTTGCTAATAAATAAGTGTTTTTATCTTTTAAATTATTAATTTTTTTTTTATTAATTGGTTAAACTGATTAATTTTCGCTCCAAAAATTATCAACATTCTATGATTGCTGATTAATATTGAAAACACAAAGACAAAACTACGCCTCAGCTCGCCGTGGAAACAAGTAAGAATTTAATTATTTTCGTAATATATTTTGGTATGAATTTAAGCTTTTATTCCATTGTATAATAGCGTAAAATGTTAGTGATATTATTTAATGAATTTTAAGAATATTTAGAATGCAATCAACAAATTTATTTAATCAATTTTAATTTTTAAATTTGCTTTAAAGAAGTTGACAATAACTAGTATGCTTTTTTCATGATTTTCAGTTATTGTCATGGCCTGCCAATAACTGAATCAACATTAAAAATACATAATTACATTATTGGCATTAAGATTTATCAGAATTGTCTATATAACCAAATTAGATTTTAATTAGACTATAGGTAGATACCTAATTTATTACTATTTTAAACAAATAATGCAGTTATTAATTTTCAATGTAAACTGCTTTACAGAGATGCCAAAAAAATCAAATTCATTTTCTGATTTAAATCTGATAGAAGCCATAAAGGCAGTAGACAATGGAATTTCTAAAAAAGCTGCTGCCAAACAATTTGGAGTTGCTAGGTCCACTCTACAATTTAGAATAAAACATAGGGATAAAGAAACATTTTCATGTGGACCTTCAAGTGTTTTGAGTGTTGAAGAAGAGAAATCACTTGTTAAATGGCTTCTAGATTGTTCTAAAAAAGGATTTCCTAGGCGACGTGAGGATCTACAACAGAGTGTTAAATTGTTTTTGGATGACCAGGGAAGATCTAGTCCGTTTACTAATAATTTGCCTGGTAAGTAATTATAAAGTATATTTTAATTAGTAGGTAATTATTATACCTATATTATAAGTAAAGTGTGGGTTATTTCATGTCAAATAATTTGAACAAATATAAATACCTATTATGTAGTTACACTAAAAAAGTAAATTTGTTTCTATAAAAATAATTTTGTTTAATAAACAAATATAAAAATGGAAGGATTTATTAATTTAAGTAATTCAAATTTTATACTTACATGTATAAGCCTTTAATACTACCTAAGATTATTTATCTTCTTTATATTTTTATGTATCAATGAATATTATTTTTATAATTTTGAAAAATAAAGTATTTAGTATACCTATTGAATACCTAGGTACTGTATGTCATGTATTTGACACCACTAGCTTAAATTAATTTTTATAATTTATTTATTTTAGGAATTACTTGGTATAAAGCATTTTTAAAAAGAAATCCTATAATTTCACAAAGAACCAGTGAGCATGTGACTTCTGCTAGTGGAAATGTGAGCGAAGAAAATATAAAAAAATGGTTTAATGACATTCACGCATATTTATCTGATGAAAAATTGGTAGATATTTTAAATGACCCAGAAAGAATTTTCAATGGTGACGAAACTGGTTTTTCACTCTGCCCTAAAACCAAATCTGTCTTAGGCCCAAGAGGGGCTAAAGATATTTATGAAATCGCTAAAGGGAATGAAAAAGAAAATATTACTGCCATGTTTACATTTAATGCAGCTGGTCAGATGTGTAATCCAATGATCATTTATAAATATCAAAGAATACCTCAAAATATAATTGACACAATACCACCTCATTGGGGAGTTGGGCGGTCAGATACAGGTTGGATGAAAGCAGAAGTTTTTTATGAATATATAGCAAATATTTTCTACCCGTTTCTTGTTGAAAAAAATATTCAATTTCCAGTTCTTCTTTTTGTTGATGGGCATAAAAGCCACTTAACATATCAATTAAGTACTTTATGTTCAGACTTAAAAATAATTTTAATTGCATTATACCCAAATGCAACCCGTATTTTACAACCTGCAGATGTATCTGCATTTAGGCCTTTGAAATCTGGATGGAAAAAAGGTTTATCAGAATGGCGAAATAAAAATCCACACAGTTCGGTGACAAAAAAAGATTTTGCACCGATACTTGATGCTGTATTAAAAACTACTGTTAAAAGTAGTACCCTAATAAACGGTTTCAAAGCATGTGGACTCTTTCCTTGGAATCCAGATCAAATAGATTATAAAAAATGCTTGGGTAAAAATTATTTTACTACTTTAAATGAAACAACAACAACAATTAACATTGCCAATAATATCAAAAATTTAAATATTAAAGAATTTTCTGATATTATTGGCATTGAAACATTAGAAAAATTTAATAATATTGAGAACATTGTTGAAACAGAAAATCAATCTGAAGAATTTTTTATTTTATACAGAATTTATGAACAATTAAAAGGTAATCAACAGAACAGCGAAGTAGACCTTGAACTTGAAAAAGAAAAATCTAATGCAGATCAGTCAAACTCTGCTATTGTTACAACAAGTTCTTCTGAAGTGGAATTAGAAAAAGAAATTTTAGGGACTCCAATTAACCACCCGGACACCCTAATAAAAAACAATAAAAATCATATAATTCTAAAAAAGTTAGAAATATCACCAATTGAGTCATGTTTGATTTGGCCTGTGACTCCTGAAAGAAAAGGTACAAGAATAACAGAAAGGGTACCATATGTAATTACATCAGATAATTGGAAAAACTTATATGAAAATAAAGAAAAAAAGAAACGGTCTATTGAAGAAGAAAAAGAAATGAGAAAGAAAACTAGGGAAGAAAACAAAATATTGAAAGAAACAAAACCAAAAAAGACAAATAAAAGAAATATTGTAAAAAATTTATTTTCAGATTTAAGTAGAAATTATAAACCAGAAACAGTGACTAGTCAAACTATTAATTTAGAAACTTTAAAATTTAAGGATTCATATAATATTATAGATGAACTACCAAGTTCACCAAACCCTTGTAGCAATATCTATAACAGTTGCATTATTAAAACAGGATGTTGTAAATTATGTAATACTGACATAGAACAATCAAACTTGGGTATTGAATGTAATTTTTGCTGTGATAAATTCCACCAAAAATGTGCCAACTATGATTCATTTTGTGATCTTACTAGTGATGAAACACTATTTATATGCGAAAGTTGTGAAAAATCGGTAATTGTTAACTAAGTTTTATTTTAATGTTTTGATACTGATTAACTTGCATAAGATTTTTTTTATACCTATTTAGTTTGTTTTTATTATTCTTGAAAAAGTTATTTTCTTGATTTTTTTATATTAACTATTTTTAAAAAGATTTTCATGTTTTTTTTTTTATTATTATATTATTCAAAGTTCTACCAAGAACCTACCTACCTATTTGGTACTTACATTTGTTTTATTTAGATATACTTTTGTTGTTTTTATAATTATAAATTTGTTAGATATGTTCCTATATAAAGAGATAATTAGTTTTATTTTATTGTTTTGATATTGATATTTATTTCATTATTTTATATTTTAATTAACTTACTCAAGATTTGTATACTTATTTTGTTATTTTTGATTATTCTTGAAAACATTATTTTCTTGTTTTCTTTATATAACCTAATTTTGAAAAGATTTTCATGTTTTTATTATTATTATACTATTTAAAGTTCTACCAAGAACCTAACTACCTATTTGGTGCTTAAATTTGTTTTATTAACTAGGTATACTTTTGTTGTTTTTATTTATAATAAAAATTATGTTAAATAATAATAGTGATTTATATTTTTTTAATTGTTACAAAAATTGTTGCACACTTTGCATAGGACCTACTACTTAATCATTATAAATGTGAAATTATTTTCGTAAATTTTATTACCTGTGTAGAGGTAATACACTAACACTAACTGGAATCGTTAAAAAAAATAGTTGTAGACAGTTTAGTATTGTAATCACTATACAATATATACCTAATATGGGGTAGGTAATAATTCTGGCTTACTATAAAATACCTATTTGGTATGTGATTCAATTTATAACAACCACTGCATAGGTAGTACCTAAGTATTATGAGGATCTGTGATATATTTTTAAGATAATTATACATTATTGTTCAAAGAACATAATTTAATGGTAAGTACAATAATTTATCAATACCTATATACCTGTAGATATTTTTTCTTAACAAAAATATAGTATATAACTAAGTTTCTAATAGTCTCTAAAGAATTAAAACATAATTTGTCATATAATTTTAGTGGGTGCCAATAACTAATGATGAGAGTGCCAATAACCTCAACAATGGTGCCAATAACTAAATGTTTTGATATTTTTGTAAAGAACTATAAATATAAAAAAACCTATTAGTTCTAAACCAATTTTGATAATAAACTTAGAAAGATAAAAACATTTTAAATAAAGTCAAAGAGAATTCAGTAATTTTAACCATGATTAAACACAAGATATAGGTTAGGTAAAGAGCGAAATTTCCTTAAGGTGCCAATAACTGCCTACTTTACCCTATCAATTAATAAAAAAAATGAAATGTAACAAATTACAATCAAAAGTACTTTAAATACTTATTTGTATACATATAAAATATAGAAATCATGAATAAAAAAATAAAATTGTGTATTTAGGGTATACATATTGCATATAAATAATTTAATATTAGTAAATATTACATAAATAAATAACAACTACTCATTATAGAAATTTTAAAATTAAATATAAAATAATAGGTAAAATAAATTCCCAACTTTAAAAATATTTTTAATTTAATGATTTTTATGAAGAAGTGTTATTGCCACACTTTTTATTTCAGATATCTGGAAATAAAAGCATTTATATTTTAATTGATTCAATTCAATCTGAAAGGGAATAGTTATATTATGGGTTTCCACATAAAAACAACCTATCATATCAGTTTTAATAGGATTAGTATACATTGGTATAACATTATTATATTTAATCACTTCTAACATAATAGAATTATTAGCAAATTTTATAATTTTTTCAATTTTTACTAATGTGTTATCAGTTAGAAAAAAAAAGTTATCTTTTTCTTTTATAGAACTAACAATAAAACATTCATTTATAATTTGTTCATATAAAGTTACAGTAGGGTCTTTGCATATTAAAGGGTTATACTCCATTTCTTTTTTTAAAACTGGGTAATTGTTGATAGGTTTCAATTGCTTATTTAGTTCAATTATACGATTATAAATATCTGATAACGGATGCCTAGAATTTTTAATACATTTTTTAATATTTTGTAAGCAATTTTCATACTTAAATGCGCTAAATTGATCTAAAGGTCCATGTACTAGCACAAAATCAGGCAAGTGTATTAACCCATGAACATTATAACTAATAAATTCCACGCCATATAAATCAGAGTACTCTGTTACAAATTGTATTAATAAACATTTGGCTTGACCATTAAGTGTTATACAAGTTTCTTTAGATAATAAAATTCTAATAGCACTATGTAAAAGCAGAAAATGCTGAAATAACTGTTTCTTTAATCGGCCTTTTAAAACGATAATTCCTGTATAAAGAAGGAAAGTACGAAATTCGGTTGCTTTCCAGTATTCTAATTCTTCAAGAGATCTGGGAAGTCTATTAAATTCAGAAGGTAAGTACGGTTTTAAACTAATTAATGTAGAAGATACTTCTGTTTGAATATCATTATTTAAAAACCGTACAGTTTTTTTCCCTTTAACCCAAAATGTTAATAACCTTTTGACTACCCCTAAACAAACGTTATGCATGTAATCTAAGACTACTGATGAAGTGATGTTAATCGGTAAATCTTCTAATGGAGACATGCCTTTATGGTATTCATCATCTTTTTTTAAACGGAATGATTCATTTGTTCTTAACGGTGCATCAGTTTCATCAAAACACATTCTGTTGTTTATAAATGAACCTTCTGTTATACAAGAGTTACAACTGTTATAACCGTTGTGGCCTTTCACATTTAAAATAAAAGCTTTGGCAGGTGCATCACAGACAACTTGAGAAATATTAAATAAAAATGTTTTATCGTGTACACAAATACCATTTAACAAAATTGTTTTTATTTCAATTATAAAACGTTCTAGAAATGTAGTAATACAATTTGGTTTCTTTAATTTACCATGATAAACTCCAATTGGTAAAACTATTTTGTCCAATTTTGGAACATTTACAAAAGAAATTAAAATCGGCCAGAAACACGATTTCGAACTTTTTGTGATTGGTAAACCATCTATGTTCAAACCTAACTCTATTATATCAAACATTTTTAAATAATTAAAATACTCGAGTAGTATAGGTTTTAACATAAACTCTGTACCTAAATGTATATATGTACCAGGATCCATAACTGTTATATCATGAATTCTTGGTGTTTTAAGTAATGTTCGAACATCTTTGGGCAATTTTAATCCTTCACATCTTAATATTTCTAATAGTTCGTTTACAAAATTATGTGAAACATGATATTTAATAATTATATTCTTCAGTTTTTCTTCTAAACTTAAATTATTTGGTATTTCATAGTTAGAATTATTTGGTACACTCATATTGGTTAATAAGTTATCTGTGTTATTAGAGGTTGAATTAAAATTTGAGCAGACATATGTTTGAGGTATGCTGGAACTTACATTTGTGGAAGCTAGAATCTGAGCAGTCGTTGAATCATTATAATTGTTAAAAATAATATTATTGTTTTGTTTTACTGATGTAGCTGTGGTTATATTTACAATATTTGAGTAAATTGAACATTTTTCAGATTCTATAATTCTTTCAAAATTTCTTTTAGACATATTGCATATTGATTTCCTTTTTTTCAACTGAAATAAAATAAAAATATACATATAAATAAAAGTTAAAAGCGTTTATAGTTGATAACTACTTGTAAATAGTATAATAATGTATAAACAGTGTTTTATTTTTATATATTTATCAGGCCAAAACCATACCTAGCAATTAATTAGTTTAGTCAGTTTAATATGTTATGAATTTTTAATTTCATTGGAACATAAAAATTATATTCAAGTCCAGAAATGATATGTAATTAAGAATGTTATTGTTTATTATTATTATTATTATTACCTAGGTGTATAATTAATATTTACTTTAATTAACCTACCAAGTATAAAAAATGTTAACTAAAGATGAAGCTTATTTATGAAAAAAATTACAATACCATATTAGGTAGGTATTAAAATAAAAACATTTTAACATTATGTAACTAACATAATGTAATTAATACATTTGCAATTTCTAATTTCTAAGCTAATTACCTATGATTTTTACTATCACGTTGAACACGTTGGGCACCATGTCTAAACCACTCTTTAATATTAGTTTCAAAAACAATGTCTGTATTTTTAAAATTATGTTTTGATATTTCTGAAAAAAAAAAATGAAAAATCAAGTAGGTACTTATTGAGTAGAAATTAATCATATTTATGAATAATAACCATTGACTATTATTTAATACCTTTCATTATATTAATAATTCCAAGATTCTGAAGTTTAAAATTATTTTTATGACCATACCAAGAACACTTTGACGATAAATCATTACTAAATAAACGTATAGCTGTACGTTTTACAAAATTTTTTACATCTGTGCCATCAATTGACGTAACCAAGTTATTCTGTAATGAAAAAAATTCAAACAGTGCGTGCCAAATTAAATTAGAATGTTAAAAAACTACCATTTTTAGTTTAAATTCTTCATCATTTTTAATTTTTTCTTCAATATTTTTTAAAGAGTCAATATCAGGTATGGGAAATAGTGTTAAAAAGTCATCATCTAGTTGAGTAACATTATTACGACCATAACTCATATCCCTTATTGCCTTTTCAATTTTGTCTAATCTTCCATCTAATCTTTTCATGTACGCAATAGTTGTAAAATTATATTCTGCTATGTTTTTCAATAAAGCTAACATTTGTGATATATTACATTATTACCTATTTAAAACCATCAAAATTAATACTTTATATAATGATCAATTAATTTATAATGTAATTATTTTAGTACACACATAGACACAATATAATAAAAATAACTATTAAATCTTATAACTTACTACTTAGGTATATACTTAGGTATTACTATGTATTTGATAAATAATCGATTTTCAAAATAAAAATACAGTAGGTGCCTACATATTTTGACAGATTTCTAACTTTTAAATATTTAA